AATCAGAACTTGTGTAAGCGATTTTCGAAGCTCATCTGTGCAATTTCAGTTCTGATGCAGACTCCTACACAAATTTCCCTTAAAAAAAAAGTTCATAAAAATATTAACTATCATGAAATACCTTCCTGGTTAGCTCATGCCATGGGGAAGCCGCTGCTATTCTTACATTACTAATTCTTCCCAGAATTAATCAGTCATTGTACATTAGAACCAGCAGCTGGAGTGTTTTGAGTGATAATGAAACCTGTAACAAGGCATCTTCAGCCGTCTTTTCAAGACAATAAGGGAATTAAAATTTCAATTTAAATGCAGAGGTTTGAAACACGCTTCACTGGCAAAATTACTTCAATTAATGTGAGTGGAATACAAAGAACAGACTGCAGAAATGTGATGCAGCAACCAGAAATTATGTCATTAATGTGCTTGCATCAACCCAGCACAATGACTGCAAAGGTCTAATTTAAACTGTACATATCACAAAGCTACAGGCTACACTATAAATCAAGTCTCTGATTTCCATGTGATGGATGCAGGCTTCTTGTTGGATCACTTTTAGCTTTTTGTAAGCTAACAGCAGCTGTTTACCTTGAAGAAGAAAACAAAAGGCCATGTCTATTTGCAGACATTGCCAGCCATGACAATTTAATTATTTTATGCAATACTCAGGTTATCGTATCAAAGGAAGAACTAAATATCCCATCTAGAAGCCAAGTCTAGAGCCATCAGACCAGTCTAATGCTGAAGTGGGAACTGCAGGAGCCGACAAGAGCCAGGGTCACCACTGATGTAGTTACTCTGGATTTATAACCTGACTAGGGATTAAATTACTGGGCATCTGCACCTGCCTCAAAATAAAAATGCAAAACCTTTTGTTAAATGAATCCAAGGAAATCAGAGGGTTTTGAAAGACGACATTATTGTGTCTTCACTTTCCTCAGATGCCTTAAGTAGATTTTACTTCTAATATCATATAACCATTGGGAAAGGAAATGTGATTATTTTTTCATATGAAGGCCACTGAAAGAGCAATTACAGACCTTACTGTTCAGTCTTATAAACAAGAGGCCAAATTGAAGAATATTTCCAACCTCTTAAGCACTTTAAATCTTACCTCCACGAAATCTTCACTGTATATGAGGATATGCCAACGCCCCAGATCAGGCAAGGCAATTACCTCATCTGGAAAATGGGGATGGTACTGGAAACCTACCTCCCCTAGGGTTGTTGGGAAAATTAAATGTATTACCAAATGTAACATACTTAAAATGGTACCGGCACATAGTGAGTATTCAATATATATTAGCTATTATAATTATTATTTTGTTGTAAAAAGAAAAGATTAGAAACTACAAAACCATTAAAAAGCAAGCAAACAAACAAAAAAAATGGGAGAAGAAAATCAGATCAGAGCTCCTAGAGAGAGAGTAAAATGCCTCTTTCTATTTAGTGATATGAAACACTTTCACCATTTGACTAAATGACCTGTGAACTATGACTACATGACTATGGTAAGTACAGGGCAGACAAAAATAGATAAGATACAGCCCCTGCCCTCAATGATCTACAATATAAACAAAAGTAATTATATTACAAAGAAATACATACAGCTTATGAAAACAAAGAATAGCATCTACTCATGTTAAGTATTCTTACCACAATAAAAATACATAATTTTTTTAAAGAAAAGTATCTAATTACCTGGCATAGTCAGAGATGATAAAATTTGAGCCAAGTTTTAAAGACTAGCTCATCATTTTCCAGGCAGACAGAATTGGGATTCGTTTCAGGGAAATGTATAATCAATTAAAAAAGAAAAAATCTACAGCATCCCTATATAGTAGCAACAAATAACTAGAAATTGTAATTAATAGCCATTGTTTTAACAAACAAAAATATAATACACAAAAATAAAAATTATGTATGTAATACAGTATCTCTAAGGAATACATTACTAAGCATTATTACAAAGAACATAAATAAAGACTTCAATAAATGTGAGACATGTCCTGTTCATTGAAAGACTTGTTTTACAAAGATGAAATTCTCTTAATTTAATCAAAATCCCATCACACTTTTTGTGGAACTTAACAAGCTGATACTAAAATTCATCTAGAAGAGTAAAGGGCCAAAAATAGCAGACGATTCTGAACAGCAAGGTGAAGTAGCATCTTCACCTGCTACCAAGATATATTATAAAATTATAGTAATTAAAACAGCATGGTTTCATGTAGACACAGATGAGACCAACTGAACAAAATAAAGAGCTCATAAACAACCATGCATATATGTGACCAAGATGGCATTAAATCAGTAGAAAATGAATTCAACAAATGGTCTGGGCCAAGTGGCTATTTATATGGAAGTTAAAATTAGATCCTCAGTCATACCACATATGAAAATACATTCTAAATGGATTTAAGAAGAACACATAGGAGATTCTCTTTATGACACTGAGATAGAAAAAAAAATTCTTTTTTTAAAAAATATATTTTATTGATTTTTTACAGAGAGGAAGGGAGAGGGATAGAGAGTTAGAAACATCGATGAGAGAGAAACATCGATCAGCTACCTCCTGCACACCCCCTACTGGGGATATGCCCGCAACCAAGGTACATGCCCTTGACGGGAATCTAACCTGGGACCCTTGAGTCCACAGTCCGACGCTCTATCCACTGAGCCAAACCGGTTAGGGCGGAAAAAAAATTCTTAAAATAAAAATCACATAACAGAAAATGAGAAATTTTATTTCATTAAATTTTATAACTTCTTTGTAACAAAAGACACCTTAAACACAGTAAAAAAGATACACCACCAACTGATAGAAGACATTTATAATCCATTCAACAGATAAAGGATTAGTATCCAGAATATATAAAGAATTACAAATAGCAGAAAGGAACTTCTAAGGAGTGTATCTCATACACTCACCCTTTTCTGAAGGTGACTGTTCTTCCTTCCCACCCACCAACCACATAGTTTTAGATACATAAATATACAAATAGATACATAAAT